ATGTTTGATTTGCATCAAATCGTGTTCTCTCAATCCAGAGCATGTATTTCCGACATCCTTGCTGCTGTTACTAAGGTTATCAGGAACAGCGCCTTCTGTGTCAAGAACTCTAATGATGTTCTCTATAATGGTTCGTAGATGTCACTAGTGAGATGTCGTAGAACAATGCTGAGGTCCCATACCGGAGCTTTAAATCTCTGATGTTGGTCCTCCAATTAAAGGGCGTAGTAAGGCCAGTAACTCTGGTACTTAAGTTAGTTGCACTCGTCCTCATGACGATAACAGCTCTCAATGCCGCTAGGTATGTTGAGAGTGTTGACCCTTTTAACCGCTTCCTTTGTCTAGGTGACAAAGGTAGTCCGCCACTTGAGGAAGTGTCACTTTCATGGCTGTGAAGCCGATCCTTGAAGCGTATCTTTTGTTTCAAAGCGTCACTACTTGTCGTCAGACAAGTTGCGTGAAGACTTGCGTAAAGCTACTGTGACCGTTTTCGCTGCTCTGGTGAAATATCCTCTCTTGTTCAAGCATGTCTGATACAGTCCACACGTGTAGCCGGAACACCTCCGGGTTGCCGTCGCCTGCTTTGTGTGAGGATGTACTAGTAGATTCGGCATTACACTCTGGTAGTTGCAGTAGAAGCAGTCCTAGATCTTGTATGAGAATAGGAAATCATATTCTCGCTGGTCAAAAGGCGTGCCCCAAATAGTTGTGGGTCTCTTGCCTGACTGATGTCTGCAATACCCTAGGTAATAGAGCTGGTGGATAAACACGTAGAAGTGTTTAGTCCTAGGCAGGAGATGCTTAAGCATGTCCGTTGTCCCTGTCCGTGGATCTGATATTGGTGAGATGAATTTTATCAGTTGACCCTTGTGGAGAAGAGGTCTCTTAAAGGTTCAACCATCTCTTATATGATCTGTTTGAAAATCTCTGAATGTAGCATCCAGTCTGTTGAGAATGGTTGCGTTGGACAGGTTAGTGTATGTGCTAACACATTCTTGGTTCTTGGAATGTGGCCTACTCTGCTGTGGACAGTCAGGATGACTGTTATGCTGATCAGCTGACAGCAGAAGTCCAGAAGGTTCGCCAACTTTGTCGATCCTTCTGTGGATGTAGACCGTCACTGTTGAGGTGACTGTGTGTACCGTTAGATGAGCATTTTATAAAAAAGCTGATCCGGTTGAGCATGGCGTTTATCGCTGCTTTTATTTCCAGCATATGGACGTGCAGATCGTCTCTGCTATGGTCCATATCCCAGCTGACACATTGTTGACAAGGTGTGCTCCCACTCTAGGAGAGATGCATCCCCAAAGAGATGCGTCTTGTGCTGCGACCTCGCTAATTAGGTGCGTCTGCAACCCTTCTCGCACGGAGTTCACCATATACAGATATGGGTTATAACCTGTCCGGATCTTCCGGTGGTATATTCATGAAGACCAGTAGTGGATGTAGTTGTAATTCTCTCTGCATGTCATGTCTTGTGCTGACTTGCGAAAACCAACCGGTTCCGCTACTTCGTAGTAAAAAACGGAGAGAGTAGTGCTTGAGATACAAGAACTTGTATCTATATCCTACGCTTTTGACACCCTTACCGTGTCTGCAAGGAATGAAGCGATGGCCGACTCTGTGCCTGCCATCGTTGCGAACTGTATGTAAACATCACCTGGCTGCCATGCCCTCGTCTTCCATGATGACAGGAGGGGTTTGTAATCTCATGAAGGCAGCCAAATCACGAAGGTCCAGTCTAACTGGACTGTAATGGAGGCAATGCTCGCTCGCTGACATGTTGTTGTCACTTGTAACCCATTTCTTGATCTGTGAACTACGTCCGACTTCTGCGCAGGGCGTTGTCCCTCGTGGTCCAATCAAAACAAAGCATTTTGATTCTTTAGGCTAGCCACGCTGTGATGTCACCGGTGTAGCAGGAAAAAGATCCTTGTAGAATCTAGTGCCGTCGTTGATATCTGATCAATCCTCGGTCTTGTCCGTAGTTTTCCGAAGTTACACGAGTGACCACGTGTGTCGAGGGTTAAATGATAAACGCGCGAATATTTCGGCGCGTAATATCGATGCTGGGTAGGTTGTTTTCCTGGCTGTTGTGACTCTTACTTCAGTTTTGAAGATAATGCCGTCATCTTTATACATAGGCTCAATTAAACTTTCACGTTGTCAGCTTGTAGACTGCTTACATCAATGAAGCGCCGTAATTGTAGAATTAATGCTGAACTTGTTGAAAAATTTCACTCAGGGAATCAGTGACGAGTACCGGTATGTAATTTCCTAGCTGTAGCAAGGCTGCCGTTGAACTCCGTCAGAGAGAATGTCTGCAGATCTGTACGAAGGTGAAGATCTCTATAAGGCCATGAATCTTCTAATGTAGATATATCAATCTATGTGAATCCGTCCTTGATTCCGTCTGAAGATCCGAGCTAGTGATGAATTCTGGTCTCTTGTACTGTATGACCTATCTTCAGTCTGTGTATCGACGAAGATCTTTTCCCTTCTAGGATGACGCTACTTCGTGTCCTAGTTGAATAACCTCGACGATCTCGCGTGTGAGTGATCTGCGTGGTGGTCGAGTTTGGTGTGACTGTATGGCGCCTTGCATGTAGATAATTGTCTCGTAGTCCGGGATTGCCTACCTGGCAATATATACCGAAATGGTGATTCCTGTGATGATCTGCGAAGCGTCGTTGATGCCCTTGATGTAGGTAGTCGGCATGAAGATCCTTTATTAGGCTCTTTATCTGTTGACAGTTTATGAAGATAGCGCCGTCCTTCGCGCAAGTTGTAGGCTATATGTAGTGTTCTGTTAAGCAGTTAAGTACTGCGACGTCTCTGCCTTGTGGCTGGCCTGTGCGAATGCCTTCGTGCAGGCTCAGTAATGACATGTAGCGTTCTGCGGCGTTTCTGCGTTGTAGATTGCCTGTGCGAACGCCTTCGCGCAGGCTTGTAGATGGCGTGTGGTGTACAGTAGAGAGACGAAGTACTGCGATGTCTCTGTTTCGCTGGAGACCTGTATGGGGATCTGCGTGGAAGTCGGCGAGGAGATCGACGTGGTAAATAGCCCGACGAACTGTGCCTGTAGGGTGGCCTGTAGGTACGCGAAGGTCCTGGTGAATCCCTCGACGATCTATGGGACGAAGATGCTCGTATACTGTAGCTGAGTCCGTACTTGGGGAGTGGCGACTGGTGGTTCGCGAATGCCTACGCGAACGCTGGTTGTCCGATTCTGTATCTGGGAATGGAAGATCCTCCTATGCGCATGCCTTTGCGAACGCTGATTCCACATCTGGGGGGATGGCGACTGTTCCTTTGCGAATACCTTAGCGAAGCTTCATCTGAGTCCGGGGATGCTGATCGTTTGTGTCCTCCGCAGGGGATGGTTGAGTCGACCTTCGCGAAGGCTGGCCTGTAGTGTAGATCTGCTGCCAGATGTCACGTTAATGGAGGGTCCCTCAGAGACGACGTCTGCGTTGGAACCTTCGCGAAGGCTCGGGACCTCATTGTGGGCTGTGACTTCTACTCCAGGCCGTAATGTTGTTCATCTCCTGCATACGGTCCCCCCAGTTTGATAGTCTGCGGTGATAGTAGCGCTGCCCTTTCTGCGTTGATAGCGACGTGGCCCACAGGCTGCTCATCTGTTGTCATCGTAGATACCTCTGGTACCTTGGAGATCTGCGCTGAAGTCACCGTAGCTGACTGGTCGTTACTTGTGATGAACCTCTGGGAAGATGATCGGTTGATCATCGGAGAGTCCCTGTACCCTCAACGGAACAATCTCGGCAGAGAAATTCCTTGTAGTCTGCGTAGACGTCCCCGTAGAGTTGTCGTCATCTAAGGGGTGTGTAGCCTTCTCTGTGTAGAGGATGGCGTCTATACATCTCTCTGCGTTGATAGCGATATGGTCCGGAGATTGCTCATCTGTCACCCTCGGACTGCGTGCTGTATCTCTGGGAAGATCAGCAGTGGCTTAACATGAAGCCCTCTCGCTGGCATCAGGATGAGGCTTCATTCTGCGTAGAGGATGGCGTCTTCTACGTCTGCGTTGAGGGATTGTCCGATGTAGAAGCCAACGTCTTCGAAGTAAGGCGGACAACATCCCACGCCCATCCTCCGAGTACACCTCCGGCAGCTCACTCGATGGTAGTAAGTCGTCTAACCGCAGTAGACAGCTCATGAGGGTCTCAGCCAGTTTACCCATGACTTGGAAGTCACCTGGATAGTTGATAGTACGTCTAAGTACGGAGAAAAATTATATATTAATTTGAATTTCAATTAAAAGCTGATAAAGATTACAGCTATAGCTGGAAGTACATGTTGTTGTGCAGCTAGGGCACAATCAACGTGGGTCTGCAGCAGCGAACCTAAACCAACAACGAAAATAGGTTAACATGAAATGTAAACAACTGAACAAATACAGACAAAACCGTGCATAAACAGTGCTAAATACGATTAAATATCCAACCATATTGTAGTAGGATACTAACTAAACCTCTATAAAAGTAGAAAAGAGGAAAATAACTAACTAATTAAAGGATATAGTGCTGCATAGGAGACACAGGCGCTCTCACAACCTGCCCACAGGGCGAAGAAGGAGAGAGTGAGGCATGAGGGCACGGTGGCGCCACAGTTTCACGCCTAAACAGCTGGAGAGATAACTCTTGGTAGGAGTGATTTTACGTCTATTCTTTATTGAAGGGAGCTTCAATAGGAGATACAAGTGTTCCACTATGTTCGCAAGAAGAAGAAGACAAGCAAAAAAGCATGAGTCAGGATAAGGAAAAATAATACATTTCAAGTGATTTCACAGCATCTGAAGGGTAAACCAAGCATTTCAATTCGTGTTTCTGTAATCCAAAAATATGTTCAGTTAGACTTACGCTGCATGATTGCTGATGTTGTATTGTTGTCAACAGTGCCTTGTTTACCACTGTTTACACTGACTGCATGACATCTATTTTGATAAAAAAATATGGTACAGTATTGTTGCAAGCACATACCTCCCATTCGTTAGCACAATCCAGGTTAGGCTGATGGTGCATCTGTAACAACTGTTTACACACATTCTTCAGATTGGTAGGGCTCTGATTGGCTAGCTCTGTCAGCAGTTGATAAGCAGCAACACGGGATTCAGAGTTGGAACATCTTCATAACACACAAGAATCAGTCTTTAATCAACTTGATTAATTTGTACCAATAGAAAATAAAACATACAACAGATGCTCTATACCTTCATAACATAACAGTACTCATGGGGGACAAATTATTTCTATATATGTTTACTTTTGTAAGGTCTGACAATTTTGACCTTATCACAGTAATTGTGTCAATAGGGCTATGCACAATCATCAAACAATAGTTATTATTGTTCATAGTTCTAAAAAAAAATTTCTCTATTACATAAATGCCATAGATCCTGTATTTTGGCTGTCATGATTAAGAAGCAGACAAATGGGAGATTATTGCCTCAGATGCCACTTCAAAGTGGATAAGGATGATCTATGAAAATTTGGGAGAGTTCTGATGAATATAGAGCTCCATTGTTCTTTCTTCTCTGTTACTGACAGAAGTTGAACTCTACCCAAAGACCTCACAAACTGAAGTAGACCATTCATATTTCTGAATGGTTTTTTTTCTCAGAGAATAATGAGCATTTCAGGACAAATACAATGTTTTTATACATACCTGATGCTACACAGCTTGAGCCTCCCAACCTTACCCAAACTGACAGGGCAGGAACGCAGAGACAGTTGAAACAGTTTGAAGACCATGCCCCGTTATCCCCATGTTATCTACCTTTGGCCTATGCTACCTCATACTCACAGCATGGACAGGTATAACAGAATGGTAAGATGGTCCAGGTGGGCTAAAAGCTGTACTGCCAGGTTAGCGAAGACACATGACGACCTCCAGAAACAACCTTCCATGATGCTCTGAAGGGAAATGATCGTATGGAGGGCTCAGATCTCATAGGAAATACCTGTATCCTTAGCCATGGTTGAGGTCTGTGCTACTGAAGTCTGGGAAGAATGAGGTGATCGAAATCAAACTAGGCCCAGGTTTGACAACCTCCTTGGCCTGAAACCCTTTGCCATATTCCTTGAATGAGACTTGGGCTTGTTTCTGCTGTCGTGTCAGAGATCCACTCGCCAGAACTTCTTCTGGAGGCACCTTGATTGGAGTGCAGGTTCTTTGTCATCTTTTTATCTTGACGTATTTTAGGTGACCAGTGACAGCGACTTACAGGCCTCACAACAGGAAATGAAACAGCAAGGTGTGTCAATACAAACCTAGCAATGACCTTACACACCCTGAGGGGACATTAATTCCCCACAGGCTGTGGAATATTTTTCCCCTGAGGGGGAGGACAAATGGAATTTTTAACTATAAATCGTATATTTATATTACTTATCCTATCTCACGGTATGCACTTCTCTTTCTTACTTCGACCATGGCGTGGAAACATGCTGTAGGCAAAGTTGAACAAAATCTTCTCGCCTCTCTCCCACTCGATTGCTCCCATTCTTGGACACACCAATCATCCCTGCAAAGCATGCTCGGCACTCAGGATGGTCACATGATGTCCCACTGCAGTCATTCTCGTCTTGGAGCATCAAGTATTCTGTAATGTGGGGGAGGTCGGGTAGGAATCCATCACATGAGATAGGATAAGTATTATAAATATACAATTTATAGTTAAAATTTCCAAATTTTTAAAACTTATCCTATCCCCATCAAGCACACGCCGGAAGGCGGTGAAAGAGAACACAGCCCGGTGCTCAACTCGTTTAACGTTCAGTACAAATCGATCATCCTGAGATGAGAAAGGAACTTATGAGCGGAACGCTTCGAAAATCCCGTAGGTTATCGGAAATCAACACTTCTCTATGTAATTGCTCAGAGAGTAGAGGTCAGTAAGTGGAATGGCAGCCCCCTCTACATGAAGTACAAGACTGTCATGGGTATGACAGTACTAACATGCCCCAGCTAAGTGATGTGCTCTATGCCGCAGGGAAGTAGAACAAGACGAAAAGATAACATTGATATCTTTTATTGAAGTACAAGGTAGCAAGACCATTGTGAAGAGGACTGCACCTTCATCTGCGGTGACGAGCCGCAACCATCTAAGGTGATGCTGTAGTAGGGGAAGTGATGCCCTTCATCTTGCAATAAGCTTCAAAATTCTTCCATTTATCATTGTGCAAAAGTACAATTCTTCACCCTTGGGATGTGATTTGGGATGTATGATGTTCAATGAGTCTACAAGGCTGAAGAACTGTTGAGCCCAATGAAGTAGCTGTGGAGAGCCTGTGGATCCCATCTGGTTGATGTACCAAACCACTGTGTCATTGTCTGAACAAACAAGTAGACTGGTTGACTGAAGATGCTTCCAGTGAGTTATTACTGACCTGAACTGTTGATGTGACAGACTTGAAGATCTAACAGATAGGTTCCCCACCCGTGTAGAGAGGCATCTACGAACAGGTGATGCACTTGAGCAAACGGCCTCAAAGAGACTCCTCCGCAGACATTCAATTCGACCTGCCACCATGGAGATGGGGATGGAGCTCTGTGGGTAGTGAGATCAGCACGTAGAGATTGCCGACTCTGATGTGCGGACGAAGAAACTGTTGTAAGGGCAAAAGTTGCAGTTGTCCCTGAGCGCTTGGGCTGACGTCAGCAGGTCAAGAAGCTCCTGCCACTGATGAAGAGTTCTGGGTTGCGTCAGCGCTAGGGGAACCAGTTGTTGTATCTTGAGAAACCGGTCCCTGGAAACAAACATCTTGCCAAGTTCGGTATAGAACACAGCCCCGATGAACTGGAGATAGTGAGTCGGGACCAGTTCCGATTTCTTTAGATTGACGAGCCATCCTAATTGGCGAAGTATCCTGATAACGAAATGCATGTGTAGAAGCAGTATCTGTTGATCTCTCTGAGCCTGTATAGTCATCTACGTATCAACAATCCCTTTGCGGTGGAGAAACCGAGTACATCAACCACAAAAAGGAGCGGAAGACGAAGTATACAGTTCTGGGTTGTTAGGGACAAAATGCACAGGGCGTCGCTGACGCATGGAATCCTCATCCTGCATTCGTTGAAACTTCAAAAGTTCCACAGACACCTGGAGCTGAGTATCCTGACCAACCTTGGTAGCAAAATCGGTAATTGACCTGTTGAAGAGTGTACGGCTGTCAAAAAAGGTCTGTCTTAAATCGGTCCTCCCAAGGAAGAGAGCAAATCTTCTGAAGACCTACTCCGCGGTAGTTTCAAATTATCTGCAATCCACGTAAGAAGTCATGGGGTCTCTACAGCATCAACACTGCCCTCTGATGTAGAAAGGCACTCTGAAGGGGGGGATGGAGTGGTGAAAGGTGAGCTTCGCCCAAAGAGGGACCAGGCGAAGGATCCCGCAAGACCTGAGTAGTAGTAACCATTTGGGGAGGGTTCCAGCCGAGAGCATTGGCTACTGCTCGAATTACCGCATCAAAGTTAAAAGCCTGGGGACCAGAACTATCCCATGTCTGATCACAGGATACCAGAATAATAGGTCGGGAAGATGTAGTGGGGACCATCACAGTCATCTGAGATGAGATCGCCAACTTAGTAGAAGTAGATAAAGTCTGGTGAGGGGGCACCACACTGGCAGGAACCGACAAACTGGCAGGGATCACTGTCCTGGTAGATACTGAGACCGTAGAACTAAGACAGAGCGCCGCACTGTACTGAAGCGCCAAACTAGCCTTGAGCGCTGAACCAACTGGGGGCGGCGCACTGTATTGAACCGCCAAACCAAACAGGAGCAGTGCACTAGACTGAAGCGCCGAACTGGGTTGATTGATGTGTCCAACCAAATGAGAGCGGTGTAGTGGTCTGAAGCGCCGAAGCAGATGGGATTGGCACACTGGTCTGAAGCGCTGAACCAAACAAGAGCGGCGCACTGGTATGAATCCCCAAACCGTACAGGATCGGCACACTAGACTGAAGCGCCGAACTGGGTTGATTGATGTGTCCAAGAATGGGGAGTGATCGGGTGGGAGAGAGTCCAGAAGATATTGTTAAACTTCGCCTACAGCACGTTACCACTCAATGGTATAAGTAAGAAAGAGAAGTCCATACCATGAGATAAGAAAAATATATTTAAAAAATAATGTATTTAGAGCCCTTAAGTTTACCCATGTTAACCAAATAAAAAGCCAAACCATAGAAAAAATTAAGACAAAACGTTTCAGAAAACAAATATACACACGTGTGCATGTGTGCCACAAGAGCAATTATAAGGTTTCCCTCTCTTCCTGAAGACAACCCAACACCATGGACATTATAATCAAGTTAAACCTGTGGATTCAGATACAAGTTTCAGGAAAAAAGGCAATCAAGTGTTAGCAAGATATATTCTTAAAAAAATTGTATCTAAGGAAAACACAAGAAAAATGATAAATATACTGTGAAGAAGTAGTGATATATTGCCAGGGAAGGGATATATTGGAGGGAAATATCTGTCAAGGTACAAAATTTAAGAAAAAAACAACCCAGAGGTAACTTCCATACACATAAGTCCTTTTAGGAGCTGTGCCAAAGGTAGATAACTTGGGTATCGAGGCACAGACTTCCATCTGTTTCAACTGTCTCTCACTTCAGTTCAGTCTGTTTGGCTCAGGCAGGGAAGCTAAAGCACTGTAAAGCATCAGGTAAGGTAAAACATACATAAAGCATCAGGTAAGGTAAAACATGTAAATGCAAGGATCATTTCCATCGAAATTTTTAAAAACACAGTGGTAAGTTATATGTTTGAACTTACTTGGGGTTGAATTCTGCCAGTGACATCTCTGTGTTTGACTGGTTCAGACTGTCCATCATCAGCTTAGATGCAGGGAAGAGAAAGTCATGAAGCAGATCTCCCACAAGAGTGTTTCCTGGAACACAGCACACATCATAAAATGCTCACTTCTTGCTTGGTGTACATAGGTCCCTCATATCGTAATGTTTGCACAGCACCTCTTATGCAACTTCATACAAGAAGTTAGCTTGCCTCCCACTAACATAATGAGAAACCTGAAGCAGGGTGCGATTTCAGGGTATTAATATATATGATAAATAATGAATGATTCAGTTTCAATTTTGCATTACCTTTATCAAATCTCAATTATATGATCATGTATTTGACTGACTCCATCACTGGAGTTTTGTTTGTGCTTATCACCACTGGATTTATTAGAGGCCAACCTTATCATCATGCTATTTATGTAAACAGAAGTGTCATTTGCCTCTGCAAGTAGATCGCATTTCTGTTTGTTGCCACCAAACTTGGTCATTTCACTATGCAACTTAAACAAGTGTAGAAGTGAGCACAGCTCACATACCCCCGCTTCCCACTTTGGGACATGGAAATGACTGATATTGATATATATAATGTGACAAGGATCAGCAGCTCACAAGACTTTCTCTTTGACTCTACTAAACTTTATATACATGTTAGATAATAGTTTTGGCATGTACTGATTACAGTAATAATTTATGGAAACTAGATTTTTTTTGTTTTCCGTGGAAACCTGACATACAATTGAACTTGACTGTCTCATGTTGCACACAATGAAGTGGACATAGATGAAGATTGCTATATTTAGCACATGGCATATCTGTGGGTCATGATTAACTTGTGTATTAAGTTTGGTGAACCTAACATGTATAGTTTTGATGATATGCCGTGGTCAGGTAACCATCAAACACATTTTGCATGTACCTAGCATGAACATAGCATGTAAACTTTAAGAGATATGCTCCGGACAAAACCATCAAACACATTTGGCACTAAGTTATGTTTCCATGGAAACAGCAAAAAAACAAAATTCTGAAAAACCTTTGAAATAGCAAAAGGCACATCAATGGGTAATGATTAACATGTGTGTGAAGTTTGGTGAACCTAGCATGTACAGTTTTGATGATAGGCCGTGGTCAGGTAACCATCAAACACATTTTGCATGTACCTAGCATGAACATAGCATGTAAACTTTAAGAGATATGCTTCGGACAAAACCATCAAACACATTTGGCACTAAGTCATGTTTCCATGGAAACAGCAAAAAATACAATTCATATCTGGATCTAAACCCCAAAAGGCACATCTAGGGATCATGCTTAATGTGTGTACCAAGTTTGATGAAGCAAGCATGTATAGTTTGGAAGATCTGCTCCGGACAAGATGACATCCTCATAGTCACAGCCTAAGTCATGTTTCCATGGAAACAGCAAAAAATACAATTCATATCTGGATCTACCCCCCAAAAGGCACATCTAGGGATCATGCTTGATATGTGTACCAAGTTTGATGAAGCTAGCATGTATAGTTTGGAAGATCTGCTCCGGACAAGATGACATCCTCATAGTCACAGCCTAAGTCGTGTTTCCATGGAAACAGCAAAAAAAACAAAATTCTGAAAAAACTTTAAAATAGCAAAAGGCACATCAATGGGTAATGATTAACATGTGTGTGAAGTTTGGTGAACCTAGCATGTAAACTTTAAGAGATATGCTCCTCCAATCCATAAACGCCAAGTGGTATCCTAAGCAATGTGTATTCTCTTCATACTTCTCTAAAATGTTTAAGCTTGAACTCACCTATATCCTTCTTCTGCACTCCCTCACAAGTGAGTAGTGTCTTGATCAGTTTCAGGTGCCCTCCAAGTAGTGTATTGTCTGTCTGGTGCAGTTCAGGGTTTTTGGACGGAACAAAGTTATTTAGCCATGCAATTTCATCTTCAAGCATAGATGCAACATCCACATGGAGACAGTTCTGATCACTCGCTAGAACAGGAGAAATCTTTCATTAGTATTCATCAGACACCCTACAACATGTTCATGAAAACCCTATTTCATTACACAGCTCATATCTCACTACCAGCACACACAACCCTCATCTCATTACCCAGCTCATATCTCACTACCAGCACACACAACCCTCATCTCATTACCCAGCTCATATCTCACTACCAGCACACAATCCTCATCTCATTACCCAGCCTATATCTCACTACTAGCACAGCACACACAACCCTCATCTCATTACCAGCCTATATCTCACTACTAGCACACACAACCCTCATCTCATTACCCAGCTCATATCTCACTACTTGCACACAACCCTCATCTCATTACCCAGCTCATATCTAACTACCAGCACACACAACCCTCATCTCACTACCCAGCTCTATATCTCACTACCAGCACACACAACTCCTCATCTCATTACCTAGCCTTATATCTCACTACCAGCACACAACCCCTCATCTCATTACCCAGCTCATATCTCACTACCAGCACACACAACCCTCATCTCATTACCCAGCTCATATCTCACTACTAGCACACACAATCCTCATCTCACTACCCAGCTCATATCTCACTACTAGCACACAACCCTCATCTCATTACCCAGCTCATATCTCACTGCTAGCACACAATCCTCATCTCATTACACAGCTCATATCTCACTACCAGCACACACAACCCTCATCTCATTACACAGCTGATATCTCACTACTAGCACACACAACCCTCATCTCATTACCTAGCCTATATCTCTCACTACCAGCACACACAAACCCTCATCTCATTACCCCAGCCTATATCTCAAAACCAGCACACAATCCCTCATCTCATTACCTCCAGCCTATATCTCACTACTAGCCCACACAACCCTCATCTCTATTACCCAGCTCATATATCTCACTACTAGCACACACAACCCCTCATCTCACTACCTAGCCTATATCTCTCACTACTAGCACACAACCCTCATCTCATTACCCAGCTCATATCTCACTACCAGCACACACAACCCTATCTCATTACCCAGCCTATATCTCACTACCAGCACACACAACCCTCATCTCATTACCCAGCTCTATATCTCACTACTAGCACACACAATCCTCATCTCATTACCCAGCTCTTATATCTCACTACCAGCACACAATCCCTCATCTCATTACACAGCCTATATCTCACTACCAGCACACACAACCCTCATCTCTCATTACCTCCAGTTGATATCTCACTACTAGCACACACAACCCTCATCTCACTACCTAGCTCTATATCTCACTACTAGCACACAACCTTCTTCATCTCATTACATTTAGCCTATATCTCACTGCTAGCACACAACCTCTATCTCTATTACCCAGCTCTTATATCTCACTACCAGCACACACAACCCTCATCTCATTACCTAGCCTATATCTCACTACTAGCACACACAACCCTCATCTCACTACCTAGCTCATATCTCACTACTAGCACACAACCCTCATCTCATTACCTAGCCTTATATCTCACTACCAGCACACACAACCCTCATCTCATTACCTAGCTCTATATCTCACTACTAGCACACACAACTCCTCATCTCTCATTACTAAGCTCTATATCTCACTACCAGTACACACAACTCCCTCATCTCTATTACCCAGCTCTATATCTCACTACCAGCACACACAACTCCTCATCTCATTACCTAGCTCTATATCTCACTACTTAGCACACACAACCCCTCTATCTCACTACCCAGCCTATATCTCACTACCAGCACACAACCCTATCTCTATTACCTAGCTCTATATCTCACTACCAGCTGCAGACACAACCCCTATCTCATTACCTAGTTCATATCTCACTACTAACACACACAACCCTCATCTCAAGTACTCTAGCTCTATATCTCACTACCAGCACACAATCCTCATCTCATTACCCAGCTCTATATCTCACTACTAGCACACAATCCTCATCTCATTACCCAGCTGATATCTCACTACTAGCACACAATCCTCATCTCATTACCCAGCTGATATCTCACTACTAGCACACACAATCCTCATCTCACTACCCAGCTCATATCTCACTACCAGCACACACAATCCTCATCTCACTACCCAGCTCTATATCTCACTACCAGCACACACAATCTCTCATCTCACTACCCAGCCTATATCTCACTACTAGCACACACAATCCTCATCTCTATTACCTAGCCTTATATCTCACTACTAGCACACAACCCCTCATCTCACTACTACCCAGCTCTATATCTCTCTCACTACTAGCACACACAATCCTTTATCTCACTACCCAGCTCTATATCTCCTACTACCAGCTCCACACATTCCTCATATCTCATTACCTCCAGCCTTATATCTCACTACCAGCACACACAACCCTCATCTCACTACCTAGCCTATATCTCACTACCAGCACACACATTCTTCATCTCACTACCCAGCTCTATATCTCACTACCAGCACACACAACCCTATCTCATTACCTAGCCTATATCTCACTACCAGCACACACAATCCTCATCTCTCATTACCCAGCTCATATCTCACTACCAGCACACACAACCCTCATCTCTCATTACTCCAGCCTATATCTCACTACCAGCACACACAATCCTTTCATCTCATTACCTAGTTCATATCTCACTACTAGCACACACAATCCTCATCTCATTACCCAGCTCATATCTCACTAGCCAGCACACACAATCCTCATCTCACTAGCCAGCTCATATCTCACTACTAGCACACACAATCCTCATCTCATTACCCAGCTCATATCTCACTAGCCAGCACACACAATCCTCATCTCACTAGCCAGCTCATATCTCACTACTAGCACACACAATCCTCATCTCACTACCCAGCTCATATCTCACTACCAGCACACACAATCTCATCTCATTACCCAGCTAATATCTCACTACCAGCACACACAATCCTCATCTCACTACCCAGATAATATCTCACTACTAGCACACAACCCTCATCTCACTACCAAGCTGATATCTCACTACCAGCACACAACCCTCATCTCATTATCCAGCTCATATCTCACTTCTAGCACACAACCCTCATCTCATTACCCAGCTGATATCTCACTACTAGCACACACAATCCTCATCTAATTACCCAGCTCATATCTCACTACTAGCACACAATCCTAATCTCATTACCCAGCTCATATCTCACTACTAGCACACACAATCCTCATCTCATTACCCAGCTCATATCTCACTACCAGCACACACAATCTCATCTCATTACCCAGCTCATATCTCACTACCAGCACACACAATCCTCATCTCACTACCCAGCTCATATCTCACTTCTAGCACACACAATCCTCATCTCATTACCCAGCTCATATCTCACTACTAGCACACACAATCCTCATCTCATTACCCAGCTCATATCTCACTACCAGCACACACAACCCTCATCTCACTATCCAGCTCATATCTCACTACTAGGAAACACAACCCTCATCTCATTATCCAGCTCATATCTCACTGCTAGCACACAATCCTCATCTCATTACACAGCTCATATCTCACTACCACCACACACAACCCTCATCTCATTACACAGCTGATATCTCACTACTAGCACACACAATCCTCATCTCATTACCCAGCTCATATCTCACTACTAGCACAAACAATCCTCATCTCACTACCAGCACCCACAATCCTCATCTCATTACACAGCTCATATCTCACTACCACCACACACAACCCTCATCTCATTACACAGCTGATATCTCACTACTAGCACACACAATCCTCATCTCATTACCCAGCTGATATCTCACTACTAGCACACACAATCCTCATCTCATTTCCCAGCTCATATCTCACTACTAGCACACAATCCTAATCTCATTACCCAGCTCATATCTCACTACTAGCACACACAATCCTCATCTCCATACCCAGCTGATATCTCACTACCAGCACACAACCCTCATCTCATTACCCAGCTGATATCTCACTACCAGCACACACAACCCTCATCTCATTACCCAGCTGATATCTCACTACCAGCACACAATCCTCATCTCATTACCCAGCTGATATCTCACTACTAGCACACAATCCTCATCTCATTACCCAGCTCATATCTCACTACTAGCACACAATCCTCATCTCATTGTCCAGCTCATATCTCACTACCAGCACCCACAACCCTCATCTCATTACCCAGCTGATATCTCACTACTAGCACACACAATCCTCATCTCATTTCCCAGCTCATATCTCACTACTAGCACACAATCCTCATCTCATTACCCAGCTCATATCTCACTACCAGCACACACAATCCTCATCTCATTACCCAGCTGATATCTCACTACTAGCACACACAACCCTCATCTCATTACCCAGCTCATATCTCACTTCTAGCACACACAACCCTCATCTCATTACACAGCTGATATCTCACTACTAGCACACACAACCCTCATCTCATTACCCAGCTCATATCTCACTACCAGCACACAATCCTCATCTTATTACCCAGCTCATATCTCACTACTAGCACACACAATCCTCATCTCATTACCCAGCTGATATCTCACTACTAGCACACAACCCTCATCTCATTACCCAGCTCATATCTCACTACCAGCACACACAACCCTCATCTCATTACCCAGCTCATATCTCACTACTAGCACCCACAATCCTCATCTCATTACCCAGCTCATATCTCACATCTGTCACATACAATCCTCATCTCACAACCAGGCTGATATTTCATATTAGGTACATACAATCCTGATCAAATTTACCCTCTGATATCTAACAACAAGCACACATAATTCTCATCAAACTTCCCTGCTGATATCTCAACACTCAATATCTCAACTCACACATCTAATTACCCTGCTAGTACTGTAAATCATGAAATTAATGCGTCACGAATTTAATGCGATTGCGAGGGTCTAGCCTAAAATGCGTCACAAAATTAATGCGAGCTCAGGAATCTGTGTTGATGATAAAATGTGACACCCTGAATCTTTGGTGTTGTTCTTTTTCTTTTCACACTTCTTATTTACCAAATAACCTGAATTGAGCTTGTTAAGCAATGAATGGAAATGAGCTGATGATGTTTTGATTACGCTGCCATGTTTGATCGCGAGCTTGCTTGCTACTACTTGTCTTATGACAACATGTATAAACGTAATCCGACTTGAAAGACACAAGTCATCTACCAAGGTAGAACAAACACGTGGCTGGAGAATGTCCGGTCTGGCTGATGTGCTTGAGTGACTTTAAACAATGACCAGTGATAATTACATGTGGTTTGAGATACTTGTAATGAGGAAGTGACCTGTATTGGTGTAAAGTGTAGTGTCAACAGATTTACATTTTTGGTCTTTTATTAAGCAGACATGGTCAGACTGAAATGTGTCATTATAATAATGCGAGAAGTGTACAGACGCATTTCTCGCATTAATTTCATGATTTACAGTGTCTGACTTGTAGCACACATGATTCCATTATCATATCATCTCTCTACTAAGTAATCCCAACCTCTAAAGATTTCTGTGTACTATGTTTAACTGACTCACCAGAGAGACCTTCCAGCAGTCGACACCTGAGATCAAAGTATTGAGAGCACTGGTTCAATAATCTGCAAGAGAGTTACAAGTGATCAACCTTGTATTGTGTGTTAAAACAAAAGAGTATCATTTTACACATTAAGAAATTAGAACTTCAAAACATCAAACGAACTAATATCATTATCAAAGAAAGAAATGTGTTTGCAGTACATGAGCAGATGAACATGAGCAGCCTTGTGCCCCCAAGTTTTCTAGAATTTCCCTAAACCTTGCCAAATGGAGGCATGTACCATCAGGGCCCCATTTCACAAAACTATGTAGCGCTACGACTGCCATACCTCGTATACTATAACATGGACTGACAACAGTCGCAGCACTATGATAGCTTTCTGAAACAGGGCCCTGGACATGACCAAATCAGGTGTTATCTTTTCATCTTCCATTTTGAATGTTATCCATCACAGCACAACAAACACCTATATGCCTCTACGATAATAATTATATGAAGTTATAATGACGTCACTTCCAAAATTAGTAAAACACACAATAAATTCAAATCAAAACTTAAACATCTTTCCTTGTAGAAACCTTAATTTCATAGCCATAAGCACTATATAACATAGCTCGTTGTTTGGTGAAACCTAAGCTCAAATGAAGAACAACAAGAAAAGCATGCCCCATCTCTCCAGCACAAAATTTCTAAAAACTTCCAGTTTGATGACCTTCACCTTCAGTCTCACCTTACAGCTCAAAATGCACAAATACATTAGTAGGTAGTACCAAATATGCAAGTTTGAAGATAAGCCTAAAATCTGTGAAATATTTAATAGATTAGACCTCATGTACATTTGCTGCCGATCTTGCTCATGCTTGAGTTATATGTACAAGGCTTAACATTGATACCCTGAGAAATTGCAAAATTACAAAATCTCAAAGGGTATGTACATATTGTAACTCAAACAATATTTAATATCATATCACTTCACCTTTTCATGTCCATAAAAGACATTCAAAATCTATACATACAAAATATATATAAACTTTAACCACTAGGCTACCCCACCGCCCCTATGTTGTTTAGAAGTCTTGCAATGTGAAAATGGATGTTTACATGACCTGACACTGGAAAGTGCTTATGTATCATTAACCACAGAAGAATGTATGCTTTTAAGTTTAAAAACTGTAACTAACACTAGTAACTGAGACCTTTGATATCATCCAGTAAAATTTGACATTACTTGTTGCAGACTCATGTTTCCAAAAATATGCGGCCTTAAGATCATTAGTTTTAGAGATGTGGTCCACACACCACTACGAACCGAGTCAAGGTCAAACTTGTTGCCAATGGAAACATGAAAAAACTAAAATGCCCCAAAACCCAAAGGCACCACTTGAGGTTCTATTTGATTTATCTACCAGGTTTTGTTGCAACAAATCAAATGGTGCTGTGGAAATGAAAACCATTCCCTAGTGAAATGAAGTACAAATTGTTTCTGTGGAAGAAGAGAAATACAGAAATGCTAAAAATATATAAAAAGCAAAAGGCACCATTTCAAGATGTGTTAGATTTATCTGCCAATTTTTGCTGAAAAACATTAAACACTTTTGATTTGTGCTCAGGATAGAAATGACAACCCAAGCAAATCAAACAGACAGACCAGGTGTCAAGTATGTCCACTACCCCCAACATAATATGCCATAGGGATAAAGTAAATACACATACATACAAAATTTTGTTCCTTTAGAACAAGAAGACAATGTCACTAAATCATCAACTTCCTGCCACCATCTTCTCACACATATTTCTCAATTGGTGCTATAGTACTGGACTTTATCTGGATGTCAACATTCTTTAAAGTCAATATAGAAAATCAGTTAACAAAATGGTCAGAGCATGTACAAGACTGTATTACTTCTGACTGGATCCCCTGGTGTTGGAGGAGGTCACCCAGAAGGGGAGGTAAGCCCGCAAGAGAAGCTGCAGCATGAACTGATGAGGAGGCTGGAGGGTGGAGTCTGGTGGCAGGGGTATCTCCACCTGGCTGGTGAGGTAGAACTGTTCCAGGGCTGCATTACGGATATCACTTTGTGAACACCCCACCAGCAGGTCAATGACAAAGTCACTAACACATGACAGGGAATAGAAAGAGGCTGAAAAACATATTGAACAACATTGTTACGAGTTTCAAATCTATGTAAAGGTCAATATACAAACAGGCTACCTTATCAGTCTTCCAACAATACAGAAAGCAATTTATTATTAAAAAACCATTGGCACACACTTATCTGTTTATTGTTTGAACCAGAGGCCACATGCTTTGTATCATGGAAAGAGGAATGGGGCTTTAAGTCCTGTTCAAGATCATTTCATGTACACAATGATGTGCATGCACTTGTGTGTGGCAGATTGATCTGCCCAGACTGGATGATGGGTCAATCAGTAATAATATACCAAGCCACATTAATGACTCCAAACAACCACTCTGTATCACCATATCAAATGCATAGTGATAAGCAGTTTTTTACAGCAATCTTTTAACAACTTACAGCAAATCAGATTTATCAATGTGAAAAAAGAGAGCGTCCCTTGCTCACTTTAACATACAGTAACATACCTTTATAACGAACTCTAAGGGACCACTGAAATTAGTTCATTATATCCGTAGTTCGCTATTCACTTTTTTATATGATAATATAAGGTTTATTCGGTACTTTTAAAACTGTTCGCTATAGACGTCAGTTCGTTATATCCGTGTTCGCTATAAAAGTATTCTGCTGTAGTTACACATATTTATTTGGACAGGCCTCTTTGCTCCTGGTAACATTGTCAAGTAATCTAAACAACTTCAGAAAATGTCCAGTAACAGCAGCGTTGGAGAATACATAAAACTACTCATTAGATTTAATATCAACACTTGCAACCGTACAATGTTTAGCAGTAAGCTGATCTATCTCATTTCAAGATGCCACATTTTGAAATTTCCTTCTTTTGATTTCATTTAAAATACATGTCAAGCAGATGAAGTTAACTTTGTGAAGACAGCAAATGATAATATTTTATCCAACTACATATATACCATCCCAAACTATTTTATGGAATTGTACAAATTGTAGAATGGTTATTCTTTGCTGATTAGTTATTGAAGTTCAAAAGCAGGGCCACTTGCAATGATTTCATGACAAATGGATTCACTCATATTATTTGCTGACACATTAATTATACAAATAACAAATCACTATGGCTGTGATTGTTAATGATTATGTCATAAGAACTGCGTTGTGGAATAGAGTCATAAGTATAAGCCTTGGAAACTAGTACTGAACATCATATTTGAACAAAAGATCGACAAAAAACAGATAAGAAAATGAAACTGAAACTTTCCAAGAACACTGAGGTGTCTGGACTAACTCCATGTCACCTACCTGTAAATTCAGGCCGTTTCTGAAGACATGTAACCAGAATCTCCAAAGCTTCTTTGGCAATGTTTGTATCTTTGGTTGGTATGTTAATGTGGTGAGAACACACGCCAGCATGCAGGCTCTGACAGTCACTGTCGCTGTTTGTACTGGCAGAACTACCTGGAAGCACACATACACATGACGGTCTCACTAGCTGGAAATTTTAACATGGATATAGACTCTTAAGTATCATGACATTTCACAATACATCGCTTAATAATAAAATGGGTTTTCCGACACAATAGATACAAGTTTTCCATGCAGCAGTTAATCAACTGAAAGCTAAACAGGGACTAGACTGATCCATGAAATGCTACAAACTGTCCGTCAACACTGACAGAACGTGTATGAAACATGTTACCAGCATGCACGACCTTTGGTCCTACTCTACTGCTCAATGTCACTGTATGTGACACTGTGTGAGACACTGTGTGAGTTTGTTCTCAAATAACCATGCACATAGGATGACAGACTGCACTTTGTCTGCCCTGTCAGTTCTATGACTGTGAGACCAGAAGCATGTGCTCCCCATGACAGATGCATGTAAATGATTCACAGAAAAACAGCAATCCTGATTAGGAAGAAAAATATCATAACAAGCCAATAAGTGTTAGCAAGATTCATCAATACCCCTACCATGACTCCGAACTTAAACAGAATAACAATTAATAATAATTATTCTTTACGAAATTACCAAAATACAAAAACATACCATTAAGTGATTGCAAAGTTATTGGTTGAACAAATTTACTAGGGAATTAAAAATATGCAAACAAAACTTTGTCCTACACCTCTCCTATTGACATAGAAGGTCTTTCCAAAATCCAAAAACAAGCCATTTAATTGTTTAAGTTATTGCTGAACAAAAACTCCCATTGGAAATAAAAATAAAACAAAAAACTCCCACTGGTTTCTTAAGTTCAAAATATGTAAATCCACGTAGCTCTTTCAAAAATTAGAAAATCCGAGACACAGAAGCTGTTTTCCAAATTTGAGAACATTTGGACCAATACATTTCTGGTAGGGGTGAAACGGTATACCATGGTATTAGTAGAACCGCGGTAATTTGCCTTCGGTTCGGCATACCGTAATATAATAAAAAAAACTGTATTTTCGCTTTTTGTACCGTCATTTTAGTCACCTTTTTAAACCTTTTCTAAAATGTCTAGAAATAGAATAATTTTGACAAAATCTAAGCGTTTCTTTTTCTTTCTGCATTATGATCATATTTCATATACTGAACCAAAACGGACCGAACCGAAGGCTTTGTACAGCAATATGTAGCATACCGTGGTAAGGGCGTACCGTTTCACCCTTAATTTCTTGCTATTGGTTGAACAAACTTTTGTAAGTTCAAGTTAATATATATCTGTAATTCTTGAAAGAAATAATATATCATAATCAACAGTTACACTTCGCTATTCTTTAAACAGAAGTCTCTTGTTCTTCTTTCTCACATATCTCTGGAGGAGCTGGAGAACCAGTTTTCATCCTTCTTTAGCAAGAGAATAAGAACTATTCGTCACTCACTTTGTAATAGTGACAACTCCAAAGCTGATCAGCCAAGACATTATCCTTCTGAACTTAGCTTCCCAGCTTTTGCAAACTTTAAATCAGTGACAGAAGTTGAAATTCATGAACTTGTCTCAAGATGCCCTTCAAAAACGTTCATGCTTGATCCTTTGCCCACTTGGCTTCTCAAGTAGAATTTGATTCTCTTCTCCCCATACTGACTTACATGGTCAATAAATCTCTTGCGGAGGGCGTTATGCCCCAACAATTAAAGATTGGAGTAATTACCCCACTCATCAAAAAGAAGAACCTGGACCATGAACTGTTGAAAAACTACAGACCCGTGTCCAATTTGACTTTCATTTCCAAATTGATTGAATGCACAGTCGCAAACACAGTTCAAGGATCATATGGACAGCAATGAATAAAACTGGTCATAACCTGAGATCAAATGTCACAATAAATAGAAAGGTTTTGGCAGGAACACATCTGGGAGGTAACCCATGCAAGGGGAACTTTGTTGGATAAGTTGAGTTCAGCTCCTGAGTACAGAAATGACCATCCCACAAATGTCAGCGTTTTGAGTTTTTATAGAGGACACACTCTAATCATGTTCTCTCAGGTCAAAAATACAAGCTGTCATCTTCTTTTGGGGACCATATGCATGAAGCTGCAAAAAACATCAGCTACCAAGGACAGACAATGTCTCGGTGGACTCTAACCATATCCAAACCAAATTCTTGTCTCGATAACTAAGTGAGCGAGTTGGATTTAATGTTGCTTTGAACAATATCTCATGATAACTTCCAGATTCTACATGTGAAGACACATAAGCATATTCTAATGCAATCGCTCTGACAAAAGTAGAGGCAAGTGAGCAATCAAGATCAACCAGAGATAATGCAGGAGGCAGATTCAACACAGCAGTTGCAATCAGACATGAAGGCACCTCAACACACACTTGAACATGTACTCATGATGGACACTGGACACAGGACAAAAAAGCTAAGTTCACTTGACTGATATTCATTTTGATCATATATCAGTCAGTCAAATGAATATGTGAAATAATTTCAACAATCTTCCAAATGTTTCCTTTACTTTAAACTTTACACTTTCCTCTAAACCATAAAGGGTCCACATTAGCATATGCTTTTCTTGAAGATGTGAAGTGCATGATACACTTCCACACCAAATCCATTTGAGAATATGATATTTCTTGGAATGTCTTCTTGTCAGAGCAGCTTAAAATTAAATAATGCATCTGACTGAGAGGAAAGAAATGTGAGGACAATGCACACTGAGGACTACTGTATAGTCCGTTTGACTTCATTTGAGACCGATGAATTGCTCGCCAACACAAAATCTATTAATTAAAACAAAACCAAATTTTGCACAGTCACATGAAATCGACAGACCAACTCTGATGATTTGTCTCATAATTTTGGACACCCAAAATTTTGGGACCACTTGCTGGTAGAACAGCCAGGTAGTCAACAAGCGTATGAAGTGAAATTTCAATTTCACACGTACAAGATACACACCTGGCTGTTCTACCAGCAAGTGGTCCTCCCTCGTAACAAATAGTGAAAAGTGACAACAAAATAATGATCGTTTGTTAAACAACTTTTTTATTCGGGTGTCCAAAATTATGAGACAAATCATCAGAGTTGGTCTGTCGATTTCATGTGACTATGCAAAATTTGGTTGTGTTGCAATTATTAGATTTTGTGTTAGTGAGCAATTCATCGGTCATCGGTCAAACAGACTATAATCAATAAGTGACTGTACCTGTGCTACTCTGTCTACTCCGATGTCCACAACTGTAGCTCTCCCTGCTTTCTCGGATGGGATGATTGTAACTGAGCAAATGCAGCCTCCCTGCAGCTGCTGCCCATGTGACTTTCATAAAGCAGGACACTGTATCAGTGAACTCCTGGCTTCCAACAGTCTGCAAATATATATACAGGATTGTCAAACAGAGCAAGAACATTCCGTAGCCCTGCACCTCATCTGCAACATCAGAGGTTAACTCATTAAGCCCGAGAGCCACCTCACTACTCAACACCTGGAACCCCTTGCTGATTGCCCACTTGCTGTGCTGAGACTAATTAGTGCTAGTCACACCTGATTTCCCTGGCAGGTTTCGGGATGACAGGAAACTGTCTAGTCGTACAAACAAGTTCTGATTGTTTAATTGTGTCGTAAAGATATATGTTGGAAGAAAGCAGGTGTGAATACATATCGTGTATTGCAAAGTTTTATGTAATTTTATTGCAAGCTTCTCCTGTATACCTTTGGCGGCTTGTACATTTATATTTTATCACCATTTGCATGTATTCTTTGTATGTAAGAGATGAGACACACATAAACAAATTCTCCCTCTCATATCATTGTGTGAGGTTTAATTTTGCAAAACATCTATGACAATGACATACTGTAAAGAAGAATTTACTTACAAACTTTATCATCTTCGACGAAAATACCGTGTTTGCTGATACATTTCTAGTGTATACGAATTATTTTAATGAAAGTACTATTATGCTAGTCTGTGACTAACATAGAGCACATTCATAGCTTGGCACTTTGTTTCATCTAGATTTAATGCAGAAAACATACGTGACCATACAAACATACATATAAGAAATGTATACTATATATTCCTTGCATAGAAATAGAAAAAAGAGTCATGTGATAGGGCGTCACCAAATTTCCCGAATAGAACGTTCGGTACCTCAACTGTTCAATATAGTGGCTGGTCATGTTATCTGTGACCAATCGTATCATGAGATACCTGTCACTGAGGAAAGGACAGGTGATGGGGCGTGGGCGAAATTTCTGAAGAGCACATTTGGTCACTCAACAGCTTGGATAGAGATTGATTATTGGCTATATCGTTGACCAGTCGATATGCTGGGTTTTGGCTTTATCAACTCAAGCTATCATGTAACAGTTTGTGTATTGTAAACATACACAGTGGTAACAATGTATGAAATATACACATAAGACATATAGGAGTAGATAGACACTTTGGCGAGTTTATTTGTCCTCATTTTAGTGTTTTTCGATACGTAAAACAAAGCGATTGAAATCCAACCATTGAGTAGAGATAGTATTTATTTTCATATAGATTTTAAACACACAACTAGTACATAAAACATAATGGTTTGCTGTACATGTAAATATAATCTTCACCTTGATACGAATGAATATCCAAACTAATGTACACATATTACAGAATTCACGAAATGACACTAACAGCGCATCTGTTTATTTTACACTTGTCACGGGACAAACCTTTCAACAAGGACATAACTACATATGCATTCTACCGGAGGCTGTTATTTCAAGGTCGAAAGAGGTGTTCAATTATCTCATTACTGTAATCTGATTGAATGATTATACGCATGTGTATCGATACCGTAGCTGATATACTATCCAGCTTTTATTGACGATGGATCAATAGAGACTGAGTTCATTGATACACGTGATAATTACACCGGATTTGATAATTACAGAGATCAAATACAAATGTTTTACACAATGTTCATGTAAATTGCATAGAAAACTTACAATTCAAATCACCATAAAACTTTCAACAGCTTGAACAAAAATGCTTGAAATACCTTTGAATGGTTTACATGTAATAACTTATGATATTACTGCTGTCTATGTGTGAGAATTTTTTGAATTACCAACTTACTCTGTTTTGTAACAAACGTAGTAAAAGATTTCATTGACATGTATATATATTCGATGCAAAGGTGCGATATTCAATTAGGTAACATTATCAACTTTAGCTTATGGAAAATAACTAGTTACAATTCAGTAAGCTTCAAATTAGTAAGTTAAATTATGTCTAATCTATTCGAGTTTGGATGTTTAATTATTTGTGTTTATACATTATGTTTCATTATATGAAACATGACAACGTAATAATACCTAACATATAAATTCAAACTATTCTATTGTGTTTGCATTCTTTGTATGTCCTTGTAATTTCGTATATTGTTTCCTATTTATAAGGAAGTTGAAGAAAATATAATCTTCAGTAACCTCTAAACAATTACATCTAATTCAATCAATGTGCATACGAAGTATTTTAGTATGAAGAATACCAGACTCTGTAAAAATATCATAATCCCCTTTCTCGACGACATGTGTTCATTTGCCAAACGCTGTACAAGCCTATGATAATGATTAGCAATTGCTATCAAAACACTTTAAATACTTCTTCTGATTGACACTAAAGGTAGCATCTCTCGTACGAAAAGCTAATATTTGCTCAGTACTACCAAATTGGTTGAAATAATAGGTACAGTGCGATTTTTAAAAGTACAACACGCATGTTCGTCTCTCGCTGAATAAGAGGTGCTTTCTGTTGACGAATATATGTGGCTCTCGCTGTGAGAAACTGCCAATTACCTGCCCCATAAACACGTCACTCGCTGTGAGGAGCTGATTCATTTGCCCCAAATATGCGTCTCTTGGCCTTAATGAGTTAAAACAATGTCACAGCACCGCAGCTCACCTGGGTATATAGTCGTTAGCGTACCGATCCGTCGAATTTCTGATTTCAGAGTAGTAAAATGCATTCGACGGATCGGCACTGTGATCTAAGCTATTAATTAGTTATCAAAACATTGGATCATACCCCAAAAAAGACGCAAGGGATGTTGGATGGTTTGACTCTCTTTATTTTTGTACTTTTGAACTTATTTTTGCCTACTCATATGATACAATGAGAACTTGATGCATTAAATATATGTTTTGACTCTCTTTATTTTTGTACTTTTGTACAAAATTGAACTTGATGCATTAAATAAAATGCATTCATACGGAAAAAATATACATGGATATTATATCTATATCTGCATTCAATAAAATGAAACATTATTTCACTGACACATTTTCAGTTTGTAGGAATGTTACACACAATCACCATACTCTGAACAAGTATCCAACAGAATCAATGTAGCCCATTAATCCGATGGGCTCTGTAAGTTTAAGTCCTTTTGGCATGAGTTGACCAAATTATGAATGTGGGGTGTCCATGTCATGTGGTGGTCTAAAGTTACTCCTTAGAATTGAGCTTCCTTTTTAATTAAATTCTTGGTTATTTAGGTGCAGTTTGGGGGTATAATTTTGCATTCGCTGTGTTTTGAATAGAATGCCCACGGATTTTTTGACGTTAATATGGAAACCCCATTTTTGATATGAATTAGCATAGGTTTTACAGGTGATTTGTTTTACAGAGGAAGAGGCCCAGATTTAGCTGTAGAAATAATGGTGTGTTTTTGCTGGGAAAATGTCATTAATCATAAAATTAAATAAAGTTGGGGACAACTCTCCGAGTATAATGGTGTTGGGACTTTTGATAGTATATCTAAATCATGAATAGTGAGTTTAATGGATGGTTTTCTATATACATTTATAATGGTAATTTGTTTATTATTAAGTTTTTGTTAACAGGACTTTGAAAGTGTGAAACGCTCCAAATTTGAGAACCCATTAACTATTAAAGAAAACATGTTGTCTAATCCAATACAAGCCGACCCCTTAATTCATGAACTTAGACCCTCCCAGTGTGTTAACACGGTCTGAAATTCGACCGATTAGCACAGAACCACTCAAGCATGATTCGACGGATCGGCACTGCTGACTGTTCAAAATTTGACGGAATAGGCCATAATCATATAGTCCAGCTTAAAATGTCAATAAAGTTGCTGTCAGTATTGGTATTTCCTGCATCAATACTAAGAACTAAAACTAACATTAAAATATACATGCCTTCAGTCCTACAATACCTGAAAAGACATTTACAGAGGAAACAGGGCACTTTGGTCTCCACAAAGTCCAAATATATAAATGTAAACAATGTACAATCACTGAACTTTGTTGCTCGAACACACCTGTACAATTTTAATCAGATAAATTATGTATGATTGTTGTATATTACTGTGACTACAGCTACTGACTGTCTTCTTTCTGAGAAGTTTGTACCACTTCTGAGTCTTAGGATCCATAACCCGTAGATTTTTAGTCAGATAAACTACATCTGATGGTGTTTACTATTGGCTTATAGTTATATACTTACCTCCATGTGCAAACACTATGCCTTTTTGAACCTTTTCAGGTCAATATGTATACACATCTATAGTCAGATAAATCACACTTGATATGGTAGCCTATTAACTCATAGTCATAGAGTGACTCTTCTTGCAGACTTTCTGCCACTGTTCAATTATTGTATTTTCAAACATGCTTGTACATCTCTAAGCTGACAAATTACATCTGATCGTGTATACTATTGGCCTTTTGGTTTGCTATTAGCCTATAGCCATATGTGCCTTTCTTGAACTTTGCATCTCAAACAGTCAGATTGTCTGTCTATATCTGATTTTATGTATCACTGGCATACAACCTTGAAGTTTACATTCTCTGTCAAACATTGTGCCAATCTTGAACCGGTTTGTACCAGCCGGAGATAGAGTATATCTGGTTTTATACAGCAGTTTTATATAATACTGTATATCTGTACAGCCATAGAATTACTTCATTACACATTTCAATGTCCTTCTCCTTGAACTTTGTTATGAAGCTTGTACAACAAGCTGATGCCTGTTCGTACCCATGTGTTTGTACCCATTATGCTGGAATTAAAAAAAAAGAAAAAAAAAAGGTCCAAATATATAACATTGAGAAAAACAGAACATATGTGTTGAGCTCCCAAATTAACTAAACACCACATACTTTGTACCAAACATTATGATTAAGTTCAGCCCCAATATGAACTAATTTCCATTTTGTATCTGTGTTACATATGTGTTTTCCTTGTACACAAGGTAGCAAAAAATAAGGAAGTCGTGAACAATAACACTGTCATCCAACATCTCACTGTGTCAGGGTACTATGTCGTGTAACCAATCCAGTCAACAAGCCTGACCATGCCATCCATGTAACTACTGGTCAAAACAAGAATAGTTTGCTGGTGACCTTGTGTAACCTCGAAGCCGGGCAGTGTTATAGCAGGCATCAAAATCTCATGTGCTTGCCTTATGTGCATACACATTCATGTACAACTGTTCATATTAATAATGGTATGTTCTGACTACTATTTCTAACCTACATTGTGTCCAATATGATATAACAAAGTTTACAATTTCTAAATATCAAAAGGCAACAGTTCAATGCATGCCGGATAAGCAAACTTACAAATTTTAGGGTACATATTTGATTGTTTCTCTACTTCTACATACAATTCATTATCCCCTGCTAAAAGGTGAAAACAAAATCATTGATATCCACAGCTATGGAAAATACTTGGCCTGTTATACTTATGACATTTATTACATGACTTTGTGGAGTAATTTTCTTCCACAATGAAAAAATTATAGCTTCAGAAAACATTATTGTTCACATAAGCTCATTATTTCTGAATCATATTTTTCAATTTTCATTACGGATATGTTCAGTTTACTATTTTTACATTATGCTTCTCTGTATATACGTCTTATAAATTCTGGACTAGGTTTCACTATTTAATAATCTCATCGCTTTTACATAGAACATAAGTATAATTTTCCCTGTTTATAAACCTCATTACTTCTATACCTAAATCTCCAAAATTTATTTTATAAAAATCCAAAACAATCAACCACTAAATCTATCTTTATGCCAAGGCAGCTTTTGGGAGAAGATTTTGTCTGATGACAGAGACACAAAAACAGAGAAACCAACTACCTTGATTGCATGACTGCCCATGGAAACTGTAGACCGGATAGAATGTGAAGATCCGTGTGCAGGAGAGGCAGTAGCAAGCGCAGTGGCCCCCTGAGATGGAGTGACTTCATTTTCAAGGGTTCCTCCCTGGTCCCCTATAACTGTCTCCCCACACAACAAGTACCTGTCCATCAACAACATCAATATGTTTATATATACACCTTTAATACCTACAATACATTGTTTTTCTGTTGTTTAACACTGCACTCTGTAATATTTCAGTGATGTGACAACAGCCTATAAATACCTTCTTTGAGTGGCATTTTAAAAGTTGGGAAGTACAATATAAACATATATACTGTATAAACATCTCATTATTATTTGTACATCATTGGCTTCCACGCCTGTCCTTTGTCTACTCTCTGGCTTCATCAGCTTTCTGCCTAGCCAATTATGTTAATTATGTCGTTTTCTTTGTTACATTGTTACATCCAGTATATATACACTTCCCCCTGCTTCATGTTCCATTATGCTTGACAACGGTACAAGAATCTGTATCGAAACGTCGCACTCACGAATAAAAAGAAGTTGTTATCCATAAAGTTTGTTCTATATAGCCTATAAATAGACAATCCATGGGTACTGCATCTAAGAGGTCACCAATTCTGATCACAAAGACCTGTTAGCCATTATGGTAAAACAGGCATGGGATGCTTAAGTCAAATTCTAGTCCAGAACTTCACTGGTGGCCGGCCATAGCATATGTTGCTGTCTGGATGGGATATTAAGTTACAATAAAAGTGGCTACATGCGAGAAGCAAGTAAGTGAGTTGGATGTAATGCTGATTTGAACAGTATTTCAACTGGACATTATCACACCAAGTTAGTTTAATGGAGGGAAAAACTTCTGAAGTAATGTCTGATTTCACACATTTACCACTTTGCTGAAACCCACAAGCAAAGCTATGGTGCTGACAACCTACAAAAATAATCAGTTCAAATTCAACATTTGAAACCATAATCCTAGGTTTCCATAATCATACAACACAAGAAAGGGGTGCAACTCTAGAAAATTTTGCATGTTAGAATACTGAGCCATCACTGCCCCTGCAATGTTCAAGTCCTAACATAGAACAGATAATGCATGGGTACACATTGCCAATAAATATTTCAAGATGTTTGATGAAACAACTGACAGACCTTGCTAGCTGAAGGCAAACAGAGTAGCAGCCCTGCCTGATCTCATAGTTGATATCTGCGGGAAGAGATTCGGGCTGCAGGACATTGACCACCAGTGACAGACCACCAGCAGCCAGGAAATCCTCACAGAATGTTTGAGAGCTGAGGCGGGTACCAATATCATCACCAGTTGGCATCAGTTTACTGCTCACAACCTAAAACAAAAAGTACATGCTAGACTATTGTAACACTATCATACCTATATCCAACATCATCACTAACCCTATATCAAACAGTAACACAATATCTATCACATGCATGGTTTAAATAACTTGCCATATGTTATAAACCAAGTGATGACATGATTATGAACTGGAAACTTCATAATGCCAACAAAGATAGACCCTTTACATAAGATGCAGTCAACATTGATATTGAAAGATAATCTTTTGCACCAAAGTATTGACTAAAGACATTGTACATTCATCTTAACTTGACCTCATCTGAAATCATGATTGAAACCCTTCATAGCAGCCATGGTCAGCTATGTTGGAATTCAGCAATTTATTACTTTGTCTACTCCACACTTAGGCATGACAATCTGTGAAGCCATGACACAAGCTTGATTAATCATTGAAAAGTACAGGAACCCAGTGCTGGAATGTCCAGTTGATGTCATCTTCAGCCCAATCAAAACAGGCCTGCGTAAGTTGGGTCAGAGCGATGCGAATACATGTCCTCCATGACTAAAGACCAGCATCACAGAGATGATTATGCACCGAGTAGAAAAATTAATGCCACTTGTGTTCGCAGGTGATTTCTGCGTGACAGGTCTTGCTGCCATCAGGAGAAATCTGTCTTCTGATATGTAGTGGAACACTGTTACCCACATGCATGTTGCATGTCTGATTAATTTTTTCAATCTTTGATACAGAGGTGGCACAAGGGCATTTGTTTGTAGCAATGCATGGCAACATATGATGTACTCCCTCACAATGATGTCCAACGATTCTGTGGTGACACATCTAAATACAGATTTTCCAGCACCTCTTGCACATCTACTACAAGCCCATTACTACATGTGTGTCCATTCGTCATCAAATTGAGGTCCTATTATATTATATTTATATCTGTATGTTTTGGATGAATTCTTTTATCAAACTTAGAACAGTGTATTATTCAAGATGTAAGTTCTTCAGTTAGACAAAGAAATAGAGTGGATTGGGGCCCTAGACTATCTGGATAAATCACACACACCACAATTCATTTGACCTGAAACTGAACATGGCAAAGAAAGCTATGACAAGCTAATGTTCCTGTGGTGAGAGTTGTGAGAGACATCGAAAACCATTCTGTCTCTGAATCCAACTTGAGAACAAACAATGGTATAACAGCAAGATGGCTCACAAATAGTGATAATGTTGAATTGTAAGATGATAGGGAGTTCAAGAATGGAGTTCAAAATATCCTGTTATCATATGCAAATACTTGAAATGATCATTTTAACTACTGTTACAATAGAAGCAAGACATGCAACTAGTTCAGCTAGAACCACTGCATACAACAAAAATTCTAAAGTGGCCTGGATCAAGTGTGTTCATTTCAAATATAGAGTACTGTTCAACATTTGTCAAAAAGACATTCTCAATCCATCAATGATAAAAGCAGGAACTTACTTCAAGATTGTAAAGAACTCGGAATGCAGACATGTCTGGTCCAGTCACATCAAAAAGTGATTTGAGCACATCTTTGGGTGCAAGCCGGGCGCTGTTGGCAGCTGGGTTTGGTGATTTCCTAGGACTAGATTTCCCAGTAGATACATCATCATTGGATGAGGATGGCTTCAAACTCTACAAATAACATATGACAAATGTACAAAAACTATCATTTGAAATATCATATCTAAGAACTAGGATTTGTTATTAGGTGACCTGGCATTGAATGGTGGAGAACTGACAGATAGAATCTCGAGCAACAACTGTACCTACCTTCTGACTGATGGAATCGAGGCATTCAGCAACTGCTGGATCTGTGGGGATCAGCATCAGCAGCTTTCTCACCCGTTTTGTGATCCTTTTAACACAAAATACAAATAAACCTGGGTCATTCCAGCTCTTACATCAACTCATATATATTTATCTACTTAGTTCACCAAAAATGATGCTATGATACTAAACTTCAATAATACAAATACAGCATCAAGGGGTAAATCGGTCATAATAATTCATTTACTCATTCATGAATTATAACTACTCATAACGTACGGGACACCATTTCAAACATTTAATACGGAAAAGCTTGAATCACTCATTTTACAATTGGAAGATGCAATGAATCAGGTGAAACATGCTGTCAGATGGTGTTGTGTTTGTGGAGATGACATCTGGATACATGTGACTGACTCACTTTGCTTCATCGAGCTCTGTCAGCTGGTACAACATCTCAAACACCTGACCTCCAAGGGCCATCACATAGCCTGGAAGCATCTTCTCCTGCAACAGTCAGGTTCCAGGCAACAGTCAAAGATTATTGTTATGTGTAACATATGTTATATTTGGGATTAGACTTTCTCAAGTGAAGTACAGATTCTAGTACATATAGTAGTATTGAGTCCCATCAGGGTTTCGAACCCATACTCTTAAAGTCAGGCAACCTATTGCCAGCACACAAAGTCAGCGATCTAAGTCCCTCAGTAGTAGACAGAATGAGAATTCTGGACCAGGGTAATCTAAAGCTTCATTTAATAGATAAAGCTTTAGTCGGACCCTTCCCATTACCCTCTACTACCCCTCTACAAAGCTTTATTTCACAAATAAGACTTTGTTGGGGACCCTTACCATTACCTCTACTATAGTGGTATCTTGCCTCTATGCTGTGTTGACAGGAGGTAATACTGTGTCATACGGTATGATTAATAATTCTTCTTTTACAAACCCTCTGCCGGGGCCATCCCTCAAGAAATACAAGGTAGGTTCGTCTGCTTTCATATCAACTTTATCTATGTTGTAAGTTTTGACTGACCATATCGGATCTGTGGCTCGCTCACGGCTATCCCCTTCATGTTCCCCCGGCTGGTATAGGTACCTCACGAGCGCCCTATCTGGTATTTGTTTCTCCTTCCCACGCAAAGGAGCGGCCGGCTCTGCTGCTATCGATTTTAATTTTATAGCGTCTGCCGGCTTTTACCGTGAGACGAAAGTGACTTCATGGTTGATTGCCGACACCACCTTAGGTAACCTCGTGACCCATTCAGTCGATCGCTTCCCTGGGGCAGCCATCTCTCTCATACTGATGTCCGAATAAGCTCAGCCAAAGTCCTATTGAATCTCTCAACTATGGCTTGGCTGCGATGGGCTCCAGCCGTACCACGCCTGACCTTTGTATCGTGTTTAGCTAGCAGCTGTGACCCGACACCCATGAACTCCGCCGGGTCAACTTGGAGCTCTGATGGCCATGTCAACGGACTGGCGTTTGTATATATGCGCTCCATGGCTTGAGCTACCTGGGCAGAATCTTTCGTGGTCAAGGGTTGGCTTCCTTATACCGGCTGGCTACATCCACGCGATAGTCAGAGCATACTTGTAGGTTTTACGCCTCACCCTGTCGTGAGGTAGGAACAGCAGGTCTGCTTGGTGAACGTTATTAGATACATTAATACCAAACTTCCTTCTAGGCACATAGCGTGGTGGTGGTAAATATATCTGCCAAAGTGCTTGTTTTTCAAGCCATGTTTTGACCTCCTCCGGGGATACTCTCGAAGTTATTTTAGATAGCTTATCTACAGCGCTAGCTCCTTTCCAATATCCACGCGGACTGTAGTAAATAGCCTCAAACTTTTTCTGGTTCCGTGACATGTCACTATTTATTTATACCTATGTTCTTGGTTCAATTTTCTCATGCCCGATGCAGCGTGCGTGTTTATCCCATCAATAGCTATCCAACGCTTGGTATCCATAGGGGATAATGATGTTTTATTTATAGTCAACCCGTATATCCTATGCCCATCACTTCTAAGTGTGTTCATTTTATGTTTAAAGGTATCGGGTCTTGAACAGAGCTTCCTTGAATCTGGTGTGTTTGATGTGTTGTTTCACCACGCATTTTTTACACCCTTAGCTTTCGGATTTCACCATTGTCAGCCTTCAGTATAGAGTACATCTTAGGCCTCAACCCTATGTACTCGGCTATGGGCGTGCCAGCACACTCGTCCTTCATCTTACCTAGGACTTTTTTATTCACCGTGCTGTGTATGACATGGTCCTTGGGGGTAATCGCTGGTGTCATTACAAATCGAGGTGTTTTTCATGTCATCATTACACGCCCTCGGTTCGAATCTCCATCAGCAGGGAATCTGTGTCAGTGTATAGCACTTCACACCTGTCGCCGTACTGTTTCTTAAGCTCGTTGTAGTAAAAGTCGTACATCAAGTGTTTGGATAAATCGAGGATGCTCATCCCAACGTAAACAGGTCGGTTTAATATTATGTGACTTTTCTTCATGTGTATGGCAGCCAGGTCGTTATCGAATATCTTACTACGGTTGAATGCAGGGTTAGCGATCAGCTTCCTGAGTTTTTCCTCCTCATTCGACCGAACCAGCTTCACGTCCACGCGTTTCCTCAGGTTCTCCATCGTCTTACCGAATACCGAGTTGTTCATGAGCTTATACAAGTTTTTCTCAAAGTCACTGGTGGCCAGCTTTCGGAGGTCCGTGTTCATTCTGATGTAAGGCTCCATCCATGGGCTCTGGTTGAACTTCAGCACTCTGTGTATTTTGGTCAGTTTCATACCCAACGACAGGTACAGCTGCAGGTTGCGATAGTGAACTATGTATTTGGTCTTATTCATTAAGTTAGGCACGAGTTTTTTCACGCCGTCACCGCCTATCTAATAAGTTATGTTGGTATTCAGACATCCAGTCTGGGTTAACCCTCATACGTTCGGGAGCTAGGGGGTAGCTGTTGTGTGATTCGTGTAATGCCTTGGGGTATTCCAAGTCAACCTCGAGGATATAACCTTTGTTCGAATCCGGCGCGATGCTCATAATATCGAAATCGGATGATACCCATTTGAATCCCCCTGTTGGTAGATACTGACTCATGGCCCATCCGTACAGGTTATTTGCGTCGAGATAGAGAATGTGATTGGTTGGTTTGCTAGGGTCGTAGCCATTCACGTATTGATTATTTGCTTTAGCGTATCGTTTGGTTACCATGGAGATCCCACCTCGCAGACCTTTCTCAATGAACAGGTGCATGTCATAATCAGTAAGCAATTCCAACTTAACTCCGGTCTTTTTAAGCAAGGCATCCCACGACAGACCGGGGCTGGTGTAGTACCATGCAGGGTCGAGTTGATACTGCTTGATACATGTCCGTCTAAATGTCTCAAACACGTCAGCTAATAGTAGTACATCCATCTTCAAGTACAGATCGTGATAGTCACCCAGGTTTTTACAACCAAGTTTATTCCATACATTAATAGCGACGAGTAATCGTCTTCGGATATTTCGAGTCTGTCAGATTGCTGTAAAATTCTTTGATGGGGGGTAGTCTGGTCTCGGCGAACTTAGTCCAACTATCCATGTACTCATAGGGATACACACCCTTCCTCATAAGCAGAGATCTAGTCTCGGCGTCTGTGTATCGATCGGTGATAGGGAAGGTATCGTTGGCTTTAATCAGGCTGGCTAATGACGACAATAGAAATTGACACGAGTCAATGAACCTAAGTCCGTCTAAGCTGAAAGAGAGATATTTCTCCATGTTGTTGGGGATGCACGTTATATTACCATCGATTTTTGCGATGGCCTGCATGATCAAGTGTGAGTCGTACCCTCTCAAGTTGTGAAAGACAACGGGAATGTTTATTGTCTTAGGGTTGATTCTAAGCTTGAGGTTACACTCGTTATGAGCGGCGCCTCTATACTTACCGGTTATGTGACAGTGATCTCTCACCGAATCACCGTTAAGTGGTGAGTCACACACGTGACAGTTAATGCTACGGGAGTGAGCTAACCTGTCGGCTTGGGTCATACGCATGGTAGCGATTCTATACAACTTTTCCCTAATAATTTCTTCTTCCTCCTTCAAACACTTTAGAAACCTTTCAACCGCGTCAGGACCCCTGTATACTACGGGAGATTTCGTTTCACCGTCACAACGGACGACTATGTATCCAAATCCACATGCTTCATGCTCTTGTGTTTTGTATGTGAAGCTCTCACCTGTGGGTAGAGCATTGGGGGTCCCCCCAACAACCCCGCCTGTGGGGGTCCCACCTGTAACAGGTTTGACCAATGCTTCAAAGTCGGCGTATATGATATAAGGCACGGACATTTGGTGCTTGTGGTTGTAGAATTTTAGGATATTGTCACCTTCCTCGGGCATGTCGACGCGTATAGCCGTCTGTCCCACACCTTGGCAATACTCCTGGTGGGATTCTAATAAATCAGCTCGGCTGAAACCGTGCAGACATCGCATACAAAAGTGTTTTTTCCCATTGTGTTTCGACTGGTCGTGCAACAACCGATTGAAATGTTTTATCCACGTGTAGTGATACTTTTCACCTCGTTGGATCATGAATATATTGATAACACGAGGGGGGTTCCCCCCCTTCCCCACCAAATCGAACTGAGCCTGTGTATTATTGTTGTGTCGCCTTCGGTGTCCAAAGACATTTATAGCTAGATTATTCTGTTTTTCTACTTTAGTGATCTGAGATATGGTGGTTGGTTCATCTATACCATCCCAGTTGAGTCCATCGTCTTGGGGATAGCTAGAAAGCCTGTCTGAATGAGTGTCAGCTGGAAACAAAGCTGATCTGATAGCTAATCTCAAGCAATCGTTTCCTCTATTCTTAACGTTTACTATGGCCTTTTTTTTCTTATAGTATGGAGGCAAGTCTAGGTATGACCCGCCTCTGAATGGTACGTAGTTAGCTATATCTAGATAGACAATATCGATTTTATCTACAGCCCACCCGGATCCCAAGTGTGTGTAGCGTTCTAGGTATTCCTGTATCTGCTGAAAACTAGTATCGATCGATGTGTTTATAGTCTCTATCTGGGTCCACGACCTCTTGTACACCTCGGAAGTAAGGCTGAACGCATCGGTAACATCCCCCACGTTCTTTTTCGAAGTGTCATTTTAATTGTGATTTGAAATTTGATACTTCCAAGACTGGCTAGTTCCTGTTTTATTTTATCATCTATCAGGGGGCTTAATATCTGAGACATCTATATTCCTATCAACGCCGCGCATGCCAGCCTCTTAAATACTTACCTACATTAGCTCAGTCGCGTCTGAACTGTATAGTATTCATAATTGCGCACACACACCTAAGGAATTAATGTCTAATTGGGTCGCCCGTAAATGTAAAAATCATATATCCTCTCCGTCACCCCAATGAACTATTTTAGATGGGTTGTTTCGATCCAGTGCTCACACTGTTTGATATAGTATTCCTTGAAGTTTAGCAGGTATTCCGATATA